TATTAGCAAACAAAATATCACGATACTACACAGTATCGATTTTTCCCCCCACCCCTATAGCATAGTATCACTGGGTTTATCCATCCTAAAAGCATCAGTTGTAGTCACTGCTAAAATATGGAAACTCTGCCCCAAATCCAGTTATATCTGCTATATCATCTTCCAAACAAGCGTCTGGAATGAAAGGGGGCTTGTGTTGTATTCATTATGTGGTGAGACTCAAGAAAGAGGGGAAAAAAGCTTCAAGGAACAGCTGATATTATTTAATGCTTTTAAAACTGCCGCATACATAATCTGTTGTGAACATCTGCTGAACCTTTAAATCAGGCGTTGGCCTCTCGGTGTGGCTGTGTGTTGCTGTGCACTAAAGCATGTCACAAGAATGAAGCTCATGTGAAGACATGTTATGCTGTTGAGGAAACAAGTCAGTCTCTCTCAGGCTGACAAGTTCGAAAAAGAGCATTTTTACTCCTCTTTGTATCACCTGTTCTTTTTGTGCGTCACGATCGGAGGCAGGGATATTAATGAGAAGCTCATATACTGCTGTTTGTAATCTCTGCTACCTGCTTATGTTTTATTTGCTCAGACAAATTACTCAAGTAATGATGTTCGGCTCGGGTGATATTTTTATGCCCGTGTTTAAACACCACAGTAATAGTAGTGCAATAAAGGTGCAACTGCTAAAGCCGGTTGTTGGCTATCAAAAATAGATGAATCGATGCTGATAAAGAATTGAGCTGTCTAATGCTCAGTGCAATAAAGCCTTCCTAGTATGCGTTACTCCATGTACGTCCTTTGTTTTGTTTAGCACTTAGGCGTTACCCAATGAGCTTCAAGCTCTGTGGATTTTCTTTCCGAATAGCATCTTCTTTGTGTGTTCCAACTCTTTTAGAATAAAGCACTGGGTTTTCATATATAGCAACAAAAATCTGGAGAGGTGCTGTCTCCTTACATGTAGCAAGAGAACTTGTAAGGGAACGAGACTCACAGAGCGAGATCTTGGTTGGATGAGCCTACAAGTGCGTGAATAAAGTATACATTTTGATTTACATCAAGCTATAGCTTAACAGGGTGCTGGTGTAGCTCACCTGGTTCAGCAGTTGACTATATGGTAAAGGGTACAGTGTGTGTGCCCCCTACCCTCTCCCTGATTTCCAGTCTACACTCTAATAAAAACTCTAAAAATAGCTGTTAATTCTCTGATATGTTTAACATGTTGATCCTGAACGCAGCTCATTGCTTTAAGTCAGTTTTGGAGTCTGATTGGTCCTTTATGATTTTTGGGGAGCTCAGCACGGTGCATTATGGAAAATGTCGCATGGGAAGTAAGACGCTGCGGATGAGTTTGCTGCAATGACTGCTAGCGTTGTTAATAAGTCAAAGCTTGGTACGTCTGGACCCTTCTTGCATACCAGCACTAGTATACGGCACAAAATAAAGTATCATTAACTACAAACACCAACTTATTTCTGTCTCTTTTAAATAGATTTTATAATGTAGGTTTGCTGTCAGGTTTACCTCTTCTCTCTGCCACCTGTGAGGATGCATATTTATCCCTCCCCAAGTCCTAAGAGCTGGCTTAGCATATGGATTAACTGAACAATCAAATGCATGGCTGCCAAACTCGATTACTCTTCATCAAATGAAGAGTATTGGTTGCAGAAACGTACATTTCTTCAACTTAGAGCTAATTTATCGAAGAGATCCAGTGTGAAGTTGTGCGTGATTGGATGATGGTACAATAAACATCTTTTTTTTTTTTCGTTTGATCAGTCCATGAGTGGGATTACTTTTAAAATGAAGTAGTAAGGCTTGGCCTCTCTGGTTCGTTCTGTTAAAAATTAAAGGGCTTTTAATAGACCTCCCTGCTTTACAAGCATTAGGTAGCACTAACAAACTGCTTCTGAAATTATTTCACTGAGATTAGGTATGGTGAGGTCTTGTGTAAGTTTTTAGGTCCATTATTTTATTGGCTACCACTGGAAGGAGACGCTAATGCTGTTCCCAAGCCCTGATAGATTGGGGGTGGGTTGCATCACAAACCTGGACAATAAGGAAAACACCCAGATCCATCTGCTGTACCGACTCTTTGGGGAAAAAAGTGTAGCCAAAAGTACCCTTTAAGTTATTAGCTGTCACCGTGTTCCCAGCATAAAATGAAAATGAGAATAATCAATCCACGTAGCCTCTGCATATCTTTATATTTTAATTTGTGAAGCAGCAACAACTGTGAGACAACATCTAACACCCAAAGGCCACCATTTCTGTTTCTCATTCCCGTTGGTTGTGCCTCCAACAAGCTGTCTTTTAATGAATAACTTCATCATTATCTTTTCAGTGCAAGATATGATTTCATGTGTGCTGCCTGTCAGGTCAAGAGGAAAAGTGTCAGCGGTGATGTGCGTCTGCGACTGAATGTCATCAGATAATGATACAAGCTATGGAAATGTATCTAGTATGCCCAACAGAAGATTATGATGTAAAGATACCAAGTGTGTTCAGTTGTGTGTGGATGTCTCAGTCAGAGCTTTGAACGTATTTCTTTACCTGTCACATTGTTAACTACGCTCGGGAGGCATCTGTTTTCCGGACTTTGTTATTCTCTTGAGATATAAGCATGTGAACGTATTTGTGTGTACGTAACAGTAGCGTCCTTAAAAAGGATCCTGATGTTTTGCACTGTTGACATTAGCTGTATTCAGATTATTGTTATTATTTTTACTTATTTTTAACTTTTTGCTGTGATCAATGATGATTCTGAGGCCTCATTTACCTTGGAAGTCAAAGGAGAATCGCAGTGGGCAAGGCAACGACGAACTCATTGGATAAGGTCTTCAAACCTAAGGACATTTCTTTGCTGATGAAAACATTGATCTACACTTTTTTTTTTTCTCCATGGGGACCTATAGTTGGGGAAAGTTTTCCTGGGGGAAACAGGACGGTCGACAAATTGTACGTGGTGCTGTCGAAGGATTTTATTAATACCATAGACAGCCACCAGAAGGACCAACAAATCAATCTTGGAAGAAATCAAGCCATCAACGTCACTGGAAAGACAAATGATAAAGATACGACACGCCAACTTTGAACTTGTCATCAGAACAGAATAGTCATTAAAAAAGGACATCGTTAATGGAAGAACAGTAGGAAAAAGGCAATGCGTTGGTTGGACGCCATTAAAACAATGACAAGACTTCAAACTCCCACAGGATCAATGTTGCTGTACAATCCACCAGATTTAGCTTTCTGAGGTGAATCTCTGCAGAGCCTATAACATATCCTGCCTCCTTGTAAAAAGAGGATGACTGATATTTTCTGGCTGGAAATCAAACAAGAGGAACTGACAGTACCGGACAGCTCATTGAAAATAGTAGCGGGCTGTGTCGACCCTACATGTAGTTGTGCATAAATCCCCAGGAAGGCCCAACCTTTTGCCTTCTTGTAGGAGTTGTGAAACTTGCCATGTCATTGGCATTTTTCTGACTTCATTCCAGTTGAACTATGGTCTTCAATTTCCGAAACTCGCATGCATTCATCTTAGCCTGTAGCCCCGCTCATGTGATGCTGTAAAACAGACTTTTTTTTGTGCTTGTTTTTATTTTCACACAGTACGCATTAATGCTGGCACCAACTTCTGCACCCCCCCCACCTCCCACAGGGTGTGAGATACAGCATCTTATGAACATGGGCATGTGTTAAACATTTTTGCAGTTTATATACAATTAAATGCTAATAGAGTGGGAGGCTGGAGAGTTGGAGGGAGTTAAATAGCTGAAAGCATGAAGTCATGCAGAGCGACGATACAGAGGTCAGCACAATTGTGCGCATCGCCTATGGGGAGAGGTAGGCCATGGCTATACATGATTAGAGCGTGCGTGAAACTATTGTGAGCATAAATTTACTCCCATGCGTAGCTGAGCTATTGCGAGGCTCAATTATGTGTGGTTCATCCATGTAGCTGAGTCCCATCCTCTTGCATTCACTGCCTGTATGTATTAATTAATCATTTCAATCCCCTTTTTCACGATCAAAAAATAAGCTAAATGAAATCAAACCATTTTGAGTTGGCGTTTTTATCCGACTGAGTTAGTGTTGTCCGAAACACAAACACACACAAAACATTATTTAATTTGCTTCTACCAGATCACTTCAGTTGATCTGATATAAAGGGCCTGTTCAGAATAAAACATCTCAATGTTAAATATAATTTACTTTAGTGGTCATAAATAAAGGCCAGCTCTATTATGCTTATAGCCTTTAGAAAAAGTGCAGGTATGCCTAGCGTGTATGCTCTCTCTCAGCTTGCTTTTTACTTGGCGTTCATCAGCATCGCCACGAGTTTGCAAGTACCTTGATGGTATTTGTTGAAGCATGAGTGGTAGTTATTCAGTTTTTCTAATGCGACTGATTAAAATATTTAAGTTGGTCGAGATGTCTGTTAATATTGCCCGGGGTCTTTCGTTTATGTACAGTAATAGGTGTTAATATTGAAAGGTCTTTTTGTACAAAGTGTAATGAAGCCAAGCAGACAGTAAAGTGAATACCTGCATAGTGTACTGGAGAGCTGTATACTCCATATACCTGCCCCTTTGAAAGTTCGGCAAGATTCATGCTATAACGGCGCTTTGATGCCTATGGCCAAAGCCTCGAGTTAGACAATTCATTTGGTTGAAGGATTAGACTGCTAAGCTTTTTAGTGGTAAGCTGGTCACATGAAGATCTAAAATTGGTTTTGATAGACAAGAAAACCTTGCGCCTCCTTTGGGGATTTTCCTCTCTTGAACTCCCAGACTCCTCCCATGTCATCCCTGACTTAGCAGTACATACATGCTTCAGTGGCCATGCGGATTTGCTTGTGCTCGAGTTGTGGCTATCTGTAGGATTTGGCTCACAGGATTCCTCTGAAAGCCTTTTCACTCCCTGGAACTTTTGGCCTGGTGAATGTTTTGCTTTTGTTGGCAAAGACACGAAGAATCACAGATTGTCTCTTCTGATTGCAGAGTCTGCGAAGACCTGTGTTGGGATAAAAGCTGTATTCAAATCTAAAGAAAGGGCAGTGGAGTGAAGGCAGCTGACAACCAAGGTAAGAAAAAGTTTGCGTGGCTTTGTGTACAACGCTGGCGGCTTGTATTAACTGTCAGACTTCGTCAATGGGATCTATTAGTCTAATGGTACTGTGATATATTGACAGTGAAAAGCCTGGTTGGCGGTTGGTGTTACTTTTCCACTGGAACAGAGTGTCTCATTTCCACAGGTACAGAGTTCATGGGTTTTTTTTATGGTTGTTTTTCAGGAGACTTGAAAGAGTTCTGTATATATAGTACATATGAACTGTACACTTATTGACTGGCACTCAATAAGTGACTGGTTCCCATGGTTTCCACCTGTCAATAATGTCCAGAACATTGGAAAACGATCAAAAATAATCCATCCAGAGCGTTTCCTCATCTTTCCAGATGAGCTATGTTAGCAAACCTGATTCTGTTTGCCACCTAAGCACCTCAAGGGTCACATGTGTTGTATGAACAAGCTCCAGACTTCATTTACAAAGGAAATCGCATGCTAGATAGTTTTGCATTTTGCATGTGCTTAATGATTCTTACATATGATCCTGTTTCCTGTGTATGCAGCTTTTTCAGTGTGGCAAATGAAAGAAACTACACTTTGAACATGCTGTATAAGAACAATAACAGTGTGTTTGGGCAGTGCATTATGCCTGCTATGCAAACACATTCTCAACTGGTGCAACATCCCTGTAAGGTTGTGGAGGGTTGAGGAATCACTCAGTCCTGACAAGACAGTAAATGTGGACATGGTGGAATTAACCTTGTTCTGCAACATATTTTCTGGGCCGCTTCTTTTTTGTCTGCTGGCAGCGGGTCAGCGTATCGTCTGACAGTTTACAGTGCTGAAATTGCAACAGTCAACGATTGTCCCCAAGAGCGGTGTCTTGCACCGTGTTGGATTTTTATCATAACTGCTACATGTTAACACGCTGTGCCTCATTGATGAGTCGTGTCTTTGATTCAAAGCGGCGTTCTTGATGACTGATGATCTCTTTCTTGCTTTATGCATGTTCTCACTGTCTAACACCGCCCTGGTTAAAGGAGTAATTGGTCGAAGTCTGCTGAATCCTAATCAGGTTTTGAGTCTGATACAGAAGAAGTAAAAGTGAAAGATTCATATGTAATGACTTCTGTTGGCTGAGGAGTAGGAAACAATCAAGCGTTGAGCTGCAACCTAATAAATGTTAACAGCCTGTGTCTACAATCGGAAAGTGAGAGTAACCGCATATATAACGTTGATTAAATAAATGCATTAGAATGAGAGCTGGAGGCTGCTGACATTTCCAAGCTTTTATGTCTTTAGCTACTTTCTCCAAATGCAGGTGGTCCCAGGTCAGAACTTGAAGTTGACAAACTTGAATTACAGATTTGATATAAATCAGAGATTAACATAGAGACTCTGACATGTGGAACTGATATGGTGTTATTAGGTCCATTGTTTTTCTGAGGATTTATAACTCAGTCGGTCTTGCTGAACTACACAATCACACACAATCGGAGGGTGGCTTTGGGCACTGACACATCGATCTATATCTTACTTACTTTGGCTGATTACTGTCATCACTTTGCAGAGCCAAATTTCATTTTGACATTTGGGTTAATGGCAGGAACGTGCTCTTCTGCACTGTATAAAAACATTCATACTGTAGATAAAGGGTAGATATGAAGCAGAGAAATTCGGGGTCCATTCTTTTCCGGCGGTTGACTGCTTTGATTTAAATTTTTTAAAAATTTTTGATTGAATTTTTAATTAGGTTGGGGAAAGTTGGGGGAGTTTTGATTTTTTTTGGAGATCGTAATGTCTATATAGCTGAATCATCCAGGTTTGACTGTATGATGGTGGGTGCCACAGCTGGATGTGCTTCTCTTTTGAAACCTCACTGCACATTGCTACGATGCCACATTGTTGATTGTTTAGTGTGGTAGCACTCCTACACACCTACATTGATCTGAACACTTTTGTTTCCTTTGTACCCAAAAAAATGTAAAAGTTGTGTGATAGCATCTGGCTACGTCAAAGAGCTAACTAGCATCACAATTATTAGAAAGTTGTCAACTGCCGCTTCCCCATTTCTATAGTTCTCTAATTCTGTGTGTATTGTTAGTTGCTTTGAAGTTCTTCCTCTTTTTGATATCACATTGTTTGAATTTACTACATACAGAGGGATACTTACCCCACCTCCTACTAGCTTTTTTAAGGTATAGTGTCCTATTCACTAGTTACATAGTGAATAGGACATAAAATGGTCATTTTCGGTTGGATTTTATTGTACTCAAAGCTGGGTCCATTAGCCTGCATCCCACTTTAAGATTTGTTTTAGTGACAGCAATAGTAGGTTTTGTAACAATCAATCCATCCATTCATCCAACCATCCATGATCTGCCGTCATCTGTTTTACAAGAGGCAATAGTCCAGGTAGAGATACCCAGTAGCAGAAACGCCTAAAATACCTCACCTAGAAGACACCTGGTTAGGTGCCTGAACCACCTTCAAACAGTGGCTCTCTGAGGCCCACTTGAATGACTAAGCTCTTTCCTCTATCTCTCAGGCAGAGCCCAGACACCCTTTAGGTACAGACTGATAGAATGAGATCACAGCAGAAATGAGCTTTCTCAAGAGTAGGCGAGAGTAGGAACGCAGATCATCTGGTAAATCTGCAGCTTTGCTTTCCTGCTCTTCACCCCAACAGACTGATACACAGTCTGCGTTATTGTTGTGTCATGTCAATCTACTGCTCACTTGCCTCACTTGTGAGCAAGATCCAGAGATGCTCAAACTCATCTACTTGGAAGAAATGGTTAGAAATCTTTCTAATAGCTTAAAATGTGTCAAATATAGGGTGTTATTACTTCTGCGTCATTACTTCTGACTAAAAAGGGTGGAACTGATATTTAGGTGTGTGTACTGAGATTATGTATTTCAATTGCATTTTGATTAGAAACAGAATGATGACGTGACGCACATTATAGTAGGTATCAGTGCAAACATATCAAGTACATTTTAGATAAATTACATAAAAAAAGCTTTCTAAAATGGGCCTGCCTTCTGACATAAACTTGAATCAAAGTTCTTGAATCCAATGGTCAGGTTTGCTGGCTGTGTGAGAACACAGATTACCCATAACACACAGATAAACTCTGTAACAGCAAGATAAACATCTGTAGTTGACAGAGCCTACCGCAGTTTATGAATTGTAGTACTGACTAAAAATGAAACGCCTGGCGTCTGAGTGTTTTGTAGTTTGCTAATTGCTATTAAACCAGAAACCACAATGCAATCTTTTTCTAATTATAGTAAATTGACTTTTCTGTTTTGCTGCGCCAAGCGACTAAATCAAAACAAAGCAATCTCTGTCAGCGGATTGAGCGTCGGGCATCGCCTCTGTATACCCTCGTGGCTTTCAGGTGGCAGAGAGAACGAGCAGAGCCACTCCCTCCCCATCTGTTGTGCCTGTCAGGGGAATCACCTTCTCGCTCTGACACGCACTTGCAAACAGACGCACACACACACCCACCTGGGAATGCATTCACAGCTACAATCATAAAGAAGAGCAAGCGTAATCAAATGAGCATCCACAAGCTCACAGTCGCTGATAAAACAAATGGGACGCATTCCGATTCACGCAAAGATAATCTGCGAGCTTTGCTTATCTGCAGACAGGATGTACCTGGGCATGTGTAAAGCAGGATAGGCAAAGTGTGAGTGGGCTGAAAGCCAGTGGCTGAATTGCTTTTTTTCTTTGACAGTTTGACTCACCACCTGCCTGGGTAATCCCAGCGTTCGCTTTTGGACAACTCGCGTACCAAGCAGCAGTTTCACTTTGATTGAACTGAATTCGTCAGATGGCCATTCAGACCTTTGCTGCCACTAACGGGAAGACGTAAACTGTATGACAGTCAAAGCTGCGTAGAAGAGAGACACAGTGACATTTAAACCGAAACCATTTCAGTCAGACTGATGAGCGTTCAGGCTATCTCTGTATTAATGCCGTCTCATTTTCTGTGACATTTGAATGAGCTTTTTCCCCCCTCCACAGTGATCAATAAAGTAACTTAATAACCTGCCTCGAGACTCTAGGACGTCTGGACAGAATAGAGTAGCGTCAATTTAGGGCAGTTTTATTCTGTAAGGAAGCAAGGGATTAATTTGATATTTGCAGGAACAATGGAAACAATAACTGAATAATGACACTGGCTAATACCAGGTGCGGGTTTACCTGCGTTTTGGCTGGAAACATGGGTGTCAGCGAAGCAGTAGAGACATGACACTGTTATCTTATTGTGGTTTTTTCTTTCTTTCTTTTTGTGCAGCGCAAGTGCTCTTTTCTTTCCAGCATATGGGTTTATTGTGTTGTAAACAAGGGGCAGCTATAATGTTAGGCTGCAGCATTATCGAGGTAGCGTGTGTGGTATTTTTATGAAACTGTGTGGTTTTTAGGACGGCTCTCACATTCACTCACGGGAAGTGGTTTTTGCCTCTTTTCTGCAAAGCACAAAATGTTCCTCTTTCGCAGGTCTCTTGATACTTATTTCATTCATTTCTTTGTGATCACGCCAACATCTGTATTAAAGACGAGCTCTGCTTGGGGTCAAAGCGGAAGAGTGCAAACCGCAATTGGTAAAGATTAGAAAGGTTTTGCGGTGTAACGTAGCTACCCCCGAGGGCCGTGTTTGTATTTGAACTGTAGTTTATTGGTGCTGCACAGAAAAAAAGATAACGTGAAATATATATTAAATATATTTTACCAACACAGCCCGTTTAGATTGTCTTTCAACTGCGTTCTTTTCGTTACATTGATTTGTACTGCTTTGTTGTAGACATTGAAGATAACTGGCACAATGGCACAACAGGGAAGGAAATAGTACTCAGCACTATCTACTCTTCTTCCTGTCCTTTGTTTGTTGGCTCCACTTCAGTGCTAGACTTTTAATCTTCATATATGAAGGTGCTCTAGTTAAAAGTTAAAGTCCAGAGAAGCCTGCGTTCACCGAGATGCACTCGCTCACCCTCTGAAAT